GGGACGGTGCAGAAGGGGAAGACCCTCTATGAGGTGGATTGATTCAGTGACTGGGGTAATCAGGATGGGTGTGTCATAGGCAGTGAGATTGGCACAGGATAGAGCAGGGTTTAGGGCCATTGTACATAGGGTCGCTATGAGTCGCAAGCAATTCGACAGCACATAACAACCACAGTAAATACTGAGGAATACTGAAATAAGGAAAAGGTCATTTGAATGGGAAATTAGGTCTTTGACACCATTTTCCAGGAAAAGCTCTCTGGGGTAATAAGATCCAAAGGCAAATTGTATATAATCAGTTGCAGAATGAATAACAAATGTGGACAGGTGTAGACAGATCTTAAAGGAAGATTATAAAATTCAAGGGGTGGGGGGGGGAAGTGGTGGTTCATAGTGAGACAGACACAGGGCCAAGAAAATAAACCAAGTGAAAATAGGAAATCTGTTTAGCAGTCTTGATCCCCCAGGAATAGCAACAAGTAAAGGGTTCTAACCATTTAAAGTAGATATAAGTTCCACCATAAATAAAAGAAAAACTGGTCCAGCAGCTAGGGTTTGGTGGCCCAGTAACCAATTGAGTGAATTTTAATTAACCTATGACCTTTGGCAGGAACAGGTTTGAGGCTTTGAACACTAATAAGCAAAGTCCAGATGAGTTGTGGGAGGATATCAAGGGTATCATCCAGGAAGAGTGCAAGCGGTCATTGCAAAGACAGAAGAGGAAAAGAAGACCAAAGTGGATGTCAGAAGAGACTCTGAAAATTTCACTGGAGGGCAGAGTAGCCAAAGCAGAACTAAGAATTCAAGATACTAAAGAGTTGAATAGAAGATTTCAAAAGGCAGCATGGGATGACAAAGCAAAATATTACACTGAAATGTGCAAGGAGTTGGAGTCAGAAAATCAAAAGGGCCGAACTCGCTCAGCATGTCTTAAGCTCAAGGAACTGAAGAACAAATTCAAACCTCGAGTTGCTATAATCAAGGATGCTTTCGGCAGAATGTTAAATGATCCCGAAAGTATTAAAAGA